CACAGGTAGCTGAGGGTGTAAACTTAGTGGGGCTAAGTTTCTTAATGTAGTCTTGCTAGTAAGCCTATCTTAACTTCCTATATTAGGCAAAGATTCACTGACTCTGGTGTTTGTGGAGACTAAAAAGGGAGCTGATGCTTTGGAAGACTTCTTGTATCATGAAGGATATGCTTGTACAAGTATCCATGGAGACCGTTCTCAGAGGGACAGAGAGGAAGCACTGCATCAGTTCCGCTCAGGCAGAAGCCCAATTCTGGTCGCCACAGCCGTAAGTAAAACCTTCCTGTAAGGTGCTTGTATGAACGGTTCTTTTGCCTATAATACGTCTGTCTTTTAGTAAGAAACCAACTGATTGTCTTTACTACTAGGTAGCAGCAAGAGGATTGGACATCTCAAATGTAAAGCATGTCATAAACTTTGACTTGCCAAGTGACATTGAAGAGTATGTACATCGCATTGGTCGTACAGGCCGTGTGGGAAACCTTGGTAAGTAATATCTGAAAAACATCTGACTGCTTCTGCTAAAAGATAACTTACTGTTCTAACACTTAAGGTTGGCAAGTTCTTCTCTAGTAACCCAGCTTATAAATTCTTGTGACAAACGGGGATCTGGGTTTTCAGTTTCCCATGGGAGGGGAAATCACAGATTTCCTGCTTTTATTGAAGAGAATGCAGATTTTTTTTTCCTCTTAAAGAAACCCATACATTTCCCACTTGTGCAAAAAAACCAAATAAAAAAACTCTGCAGGCTGGCTGAGTTCCTGCCTGCAAGAGCAGTTTGCAGAAAAGCCCCAACCTTGCTTGGAGAGGCAGGGAGAAGGGGAAGGGTAGAGCCTGCAGCTTTTCAGTCAGTGTCAAGGCTTGGGTCAGGCTCACTTACCAGTTCAAAGGCTCCAGGAGGAAAGTAGGGCTTGTGGGGGGCAGGGCAGGGCTGGGGTGGAAGCTGCCTGGGGCCTGAAGGAACAGGGAGGTGTTGGCAAAATACACCAAGTGCTTGGCCAGCGCCTCCATGTGTGGCTTTCCTTAAGGGCTGCCAGAGCTGCTCTGGTTTCATGTGTCCCTGGCTGGGCACTCCGGCTACAAGCCTGGAGGTGTTGGGGAAATGCACAGAGCGCCCAGCTGGTGCCACATCTCCCTGCTTGTGGTTGGAGTGTCTGACCAGGAGCATGTTAAAACCAAAGCAGCTCTGGCAGCCCTTAAGGGAAGGTACACATGCAAGTGCTGGTGGGGAGATGTGGAGCTGGCTGGGCACCTCCGGAGAACAGGGGGATCCCATGCCCCCCCAGATCTGTGGGCTTAAGCTTCTACCCTGCTTCCCTCCTGTGGGGCTCCTGTAGCCCTGCAGACGCAATCCAGCACAGCTGGCAACAGGGGGGTGGCACCAGGATCTCCTGGGATGGGAGGGGGGTGGGTGCCTGGCAGCACACCTCCTGCGTCTGCTGCTGGTTTGAGTGGTGGAGCTCTGTGCCACTTCCTTCAGTGCAGCCCCGGGTGCAGGAGGTGTGTTACTGGGGCAGTGTAGAGAGCAGCCGCTACAAGATCCCTGCATGGTTCCTCTGTCCCCAGCCATGCCTTCCCCTCCCCGCAATTCGGTGGCTATGGGTGAGCCTTAATCACGGATTTTGAAAACCAGGATAAGCTTCTAACTTACTGATACTACTATTGTGCTCCGAGGGTCCTATACAACAATGTGGCTCTAACGGCAACACACAATTGTCATCTGTCTGTAGAAGTTTTGGCATGTAAAGCGCTAGGAAGGCAGTTAAACTTCAATGTGTGTGCATGCACTTTCATTCTGAAACTTGAGTTAGTTGCTTTCTGGGCATGAGAAATGCTGACACAGTTGATAAACCTATTAATGATATAAGAAGACCTATTGGTTGAACATATATTTGGTAGTCTCACCCAAGAGAGAGAGAACTGGAACTTAAATTGGTCTCCAACTTCCTAGCTTTTGTGTTTTTTAAAGAGCCTAGACCAGGGTAACCAAATGCAGTTTGGACTAGATAAGCCTGTGAACTGACTCTAGACCACTCATCCAGCTTATGGAGTTGGACAAGTTGGTTGCCACTAGTCTAAACCTCTTGGCTGGTGGCATACCTTCTCAATAATTGAAAGTTAGAATTAGGTGTCCACATGGCCATGTAACTCCTTGTATGCTAAACTTTTTTCCAGTAAAATGCCCTCCCTTTTGGAGGAGAAGGGGGAGTCTTAAAACCCAAGACTACTGGTACTAACATTTAGCCAAAATAGTTGCACCAAGAAAGCATTCTGTGTTTTCTCTTTTAATTGGGGTGGAGGAGGACCTTGGTTAAAGGATGTTGGGCAGCATTCAAATTCTACTTCTGGGCACCTCATTCTTTCTAAATAGAATAAGCTTATCGTACTATTATGTGCCAGCTGACTGGCCTTTTCCAGCTTTCAAGACCACATCACTGTAGATTAGATCAGAAAGCACTTAAAGTAAGAAAAACAAGTTGTTTAATTCACAACTTTTTTTTAAAGGTCTTGCCACCTCATTCTTCAATGAGAGGAATATAAACATCACCAAGGACTTACTAGATCTCCTTGTTGAAGCTAAACAAGAAGTGCCATCTTGGCTGGAAAATATGGCTTACGAACAGCTTCACAAGGGTGGTGGCAGTCGTGGACGTTCAAAGAGGTAAGTTTCTCCACATGTTGGTCATAGGCATACATAATCCATTATCAGTCCTTCAATTGATGGTTTGGGTTCCTGTTAAGTAAAACACCTAGCTGTTAACACTGGAAGTGAGTATCTGATTGCACACTGCCTCCTTCAAAGAAAGCTATATTGTAATTGGAATGGTCTCGAAAAGCATTTGTGAAGATGTGTTACGGTAGAGTTGGAAATATGTCCCCCTTGCTAAATGTTTTTAACTACAATGTAACTTGCTGTTCTGGAAGTCTCCCAAGATCCAGTCAATCCATCTGCTTTAAAACTTCGTGGAAAAAGCTCTCTAAAACTTCAGAAAGTTAAAGGCATAGTTGGTTTCTCTTGGTGAATGAAAATAGCTTTTTTCTAAATGATTACATATTTTGCATTTAAATTGATTCCACCTCCCATATTTATTATAATGTGAAAAGCTGACCTGTAGCAGTTTGGTAGTTCTAAGACAAGGGATATGACATTGTTTTTTGTATAACATCCTTGTCTTTCAGTCTCATTGATTTGGAAACAACTTTCATGTAAGGAAATAGTTATGAATGATGCAGCAGAATAAATCTAAAACCTAATGACTCCATAGGTAGCTGTCTCCAGTGAATATGGGCATCTTCTGTTTTCTTTCTACTTGGCTAGTATGGCTCTGCACCTGTATTCCTTGCCACCAGTGCGATAGGAGTCGTATGGGTTATTTACCGAGTCCATTTGTTGGTTAACATAGCAAGACTAATCCTAGCTGCCAGTTTATTCAACCAAGAAACTAAGCTGTGTAGCTGGAATAGGAACCTCTTCCTTGGCATCCACCAATGCCATGTTACCAGGTGGCAAGCTTATTGGTATAATAGAGTATAAGTCACAGACATCTAGGTATAAGAGTGCCAGCAACATCAATATCTGTGAAACTGGACAAAGACAGCTATATTTTGCTATCTCAAGTCTGATTTCTTTTTTTTCTAAAAGGTAATCGAATAACTATATGAGAATAACCACGGTGTTGCTTGGTTCCTTACAGTAGCAGGTTCAGTGGAGGATTTGGTGCCAGAGACTATAGAACAAGCAGCGGTTCCAGCAGTAGTAGCTTTAGCGGTAGTCGACCACCGAGCAGTCGCAGTAGTGGAGGCAGCAGAGGATTTGGAGGTAAGTCCTTTTTTCACGTCGGAGATGAGTGGGTAGGCACTGTTTACCACTGTAAAACAATTCCACTTTGCATTCTGATAGGCTTGCTCCTTTATATTAAAACACTAATGTAGGAAGTAGCATTTGGGTAGAACTCCTGTGTGTGAGCAGTAGTGCTTTCTTTGACTTCAGTTATTGGGCCCCTAGACATCTAGTATGGCAGGAAGCACAGTTGAGATCATGGATCAGCTTCTTTTTCTAGACTCCAGTGCAAGCTCTCTGCATCAGCATGTTGAAAGGTGGGTACCTTTAGACTGGCATGCCCCAGGCTGGCAGTCAATGAACGTGACTTACCCTGGGCCTGGTTCCAGACCCCAGGCTGTTCTGGGGTCAGGGACAAGAAATGACCGATTCCTAAGGTGCTATATGAACAGCCTTAAGATGGGTGCATCTGTAGTACATTGCTGTTACGTGCCTATATAGTTGGATCAAATAACCTTACACCAGGTTAGAAGTCACAAGGGGCGCCCCATATGTGTCGTCATCTCCTTGCCTGCAGTCTTGGCCACACGAGCTCTTCATAACCTTTTAATCAGCATATAGCAGGGGGCTTGGAGGTAGTATAAGTATTTTGTCCCTTTTATGCAAAGCTCACAAATAGACTATATCAAATCAATAATTCAGAGATTAGGAGTAACAACCTAGGGGATGGATTTATAAAATGGTAAAATGTTCTAATGCTTAAATGCGACTGACTGACTGTGTTTCCTTCCAATAGGTGGTGGCGGTGGTGGTAGCTATGGAGGCTTCTACAACAGTGATGGATATGGAGGAAACTATAACTCCGGGGGGGTTGACTGGTGGGGCAATTGAATCTGCTTGCAGCAGACATCCTACCAAACAAGCTAATATGGAAACCACATGTAACTTAGCCAGACTATACCTTGTGTAGCTTCAAGAACTCGCAGTACATTACCAGCTGTGATTCTCCACTGAAATTTTTTTTAAGGGAGCTCAAGGTCACACGGAAACAAAAGGAACAAGCAGCCCTATTTTGAAGGTGGTTTGAAGACTATTGCTGTAGTCAGGATTTAACTCCCCTCCCACCCACCCCCCCCATCCAAAAACTGCATTTATAATTTTGTGACTGAGGATCATTTGTTTGTTAATGTACTGTGCCTTTAACTTTAGACAACTTTTTATTTTGATGTCCTGTTGGCTCAGTAATGCTCAAGATACCAATTGTTTTTGACAAAATAAAAAATAATGAACTTGGGCTAAAATCAAACCTTGGCACACAGGTGTGATACAACTTAAACAGGAATCATCGATTCATCCATAATATTACAAAGAAACTTATGCGGTAGCCTGCATTAGGGCTTTTTACTTGCAGATTTGGAAAATAAAACATCTTGAAGCATATCGATGCAATTAGTTTCTAATGTGGCAAAACTGTACTAAGTTAAAGTTCTGATTTGCTCACTCTATCCTGGATAGGTACTTAGAACCTGATAGCCTTTAATAAGCCATTCCAGTCATGATGAGATGATGTATGAAGACATGCATACATTAAAAGCACTGTTTTTTGAAGTTAATGCAAGTAAACACAGCAATTCCTTTTTCAATGTTTAGGCAGATCATTAATTGTGAGCTAGCCAAATGTGGGCAGAATATTACAGGGAATGTTTAAAGGTCTGATAACTTGAAATAGTTTTTAGGAGAATTCATCTACTTAGACTTTTTAAAATGCCTGCCATATGAAATTGAAATGGTAGAATGGCTGACCATGACAGTGACTGGTCCTCCTTAAGGGCCTGACTGATTATTTTTGGTCTAATAACGCATGCTAGTGTTGATGTTTTTTGGTCAAGAGGGTATGAACAGGAAGAATTATGCAGCAGGCTTTATTTTAATGCAGATTCACATTACTCTGTTCAAGCTGCGTGGAGATGTTAAACTGGCTTACTGTAGACTTTGTAAAATGGCTCCAGAAGAGTTAACAAACGAATCTTGAGATCACAGGTTGGAAATGTACATAACTGCACAAGGTTTCAATTCTGCTATTGAAGTGCAGTTTTAGTCAGTTTTAGTTGCATAGGTTTCCATTGTATTTATAGTCTGTTTATGCTAAATCTGGCCAAAGATGAGTATTGTCCACCAGTAAATTGCCTCTGCCACTTGGAATTTCTGTGCTAAATTTTGTGGCCAGAGCAGTTATCAACTCCTAATCTACAGTGGCATAGGAAAACGGCAAAAATCTCCTAAAGTGCAATAGATTTTTTCAAGTGTATTGTGCCTTGTTCTAAAACTTTTATTAAGTAGGTGCACTTGACAGTATTGAGGTCATTTGTTATGGTGCTATTTCAAGTCTAGGTTTAGGCCCTTGTACATTTTGCCCATAACTTTTTACAAAATACTTCTTTTATTGCACATTCAGAGAATTTTATATATGTCTTGTGTGCGTGTCCTTAACTTCCAATCTTATTTTGTCTCTTGGAGATTGAATGCAGCTTGTTTAAGGAGGAGGAAATAGATTCTAAAACTTATTTGGGACCATGGGAATGATAGCTGGGAAGAAAACTATTTGCACACGACAGATTTCTAGATACTTTTTGCTGCTAGTTTTGTGTAATATTTATTGAACATTTTTGACAAATATTTATTTTTGTAAGCCTAAAAGTGATTCTTTGAAAGTTTAAAGAAACTTGACCAAAAGACAGTACAAAAACACTGGCACTTGAATGTTGAATGTCACCGTATGCGTGAAATTATATATTTCGGGGTAGTGTGAGCTTTTAATGTTTAAGTCATATTAAACTCTTAAGTCAAATTAAGCAGACCCGGCATTGGCAGTGTAGCCATAACTTTCTGATAGTAAAACAAAAAAAATTGGCAACTTAAAATTTAAACATGCCAAGGTTTTGATACACTTGTCTTAAGATATTAATGAAACACTTCTAAACACTGATGTGAAGTGTCCAGATTCTCAGATGTTTGTTGCGTGAGTTTTGTTTAGTTGTGTGTTTTTGTTTTTTTTTATTTTTATTTTTATTTTTTTCAGTGAATGTCTGGCACATTGCAATCCTCAAACATGTGGTTATCTTTGTTGTATTGGCATAATCAGTGACTTGTGCATTTTAGCAAGTTTTATCAGCCAGCAATATTTTTTGGTTCGGAAATAAGGATTCAAAATTTATAAGCAAAGAATGGATTTAAACTTGCTGAATGTAATAAAATAAAAAAAAAAAATTGAACTTCAAGTCACTGTAGGTTTAGTAATTGCTTATTGTATTAGTTTAGATGCTAGCACTGCATGTGCTGTGCATTACTCTTGATTTTATTAAAATAAAAAAGTTGAACTGCACACTGCCTGCTCAGTTTGTTTAGCCTCGCTGTTCCAGTTTTTGGTTTTTTTTTTTTTTTTTTTTTTTTTTATACAAGCTGTATCTGGAACACAGTATGTAAGTGAATATGATCTGCCATCTGATGTTTGTGTTGGGCTGCATGGTTACCAGTTGACATGGTAACTTCACTTTGATACTCATATTGCAGGACAAAGCCTGCACAGGAAGACGTGTCTAGAATTGAGAAGAGGGCAAAAATGGACTTTTGTTGTCTTTGAGCATTCTCATTGTAAGGACCTTGCGTTCTAGGCTTTATTATTGCTTCCTAGGGGTATGTTAGTATAGCCCAAAGGTTGGGTTTTTCTCAGTGGGCTAATTTTCAGGGTTTGAGAATATGCCTTTGAAAACACTCAAATTTTTGGCATCGTGAGATTTGCATCATGACTGTTATTTTCCCTAAAGATGCATACAGCCAAATTTGGCTAATACACATTGCATTAATCTGTTTAATGGAAGACCTTTCAGCCTCAGAAGAGACTACTCTTCTTGGGGAAACTTGCAAGAAGGCCTACTAAAAAGGACATGGTGCAAATACAGTAGAATAAAAAAAAAATACAAGTTGCCTTACCTCTGAAAAGTGCACAAATGGTAGTTTGCCTTCAGCAGGGCTGTTGGACAACAAAGAACCTAGTCTTTTGCTGTATTTCTATCTCTGCAATGGAATGGACTAGATGAGAAGCTATGAACAATAGCTTAGAGGCTCTATAACTGCATTGGAATGCTTACTACTCAGCTGTTAATTGTATGTGATACTATTGAGCAGCATTATGAAAACTAGAAAATGCTGGGATGAGTGCTGTTTAGTGCAGAATGTGCAACAGACCACATAAGTGGCCATTAATAAGCCAAACTTAAATACTGCCTGGAAGGGCTTGGGTGTAGTGGGGCTGACCCCATCTTGGCAGAGATCCAGTGCAGGTGTAAGAGATGGACATCACTCCACTATGCACTACTATCGACTGATGCTGGTGTAATGCTCAAGCCTGTAACAGGCTTCTGAAACCAATGCAAACCCTCGAGGGAAGAAAACAGTGTGTTGTCATACAAAAAACTTGAAGTCATGTATCCAAAACAATACCTTTTTATTAAACCAACTAGAAAATGGCAAGAAAGAGGAAAGTTGTCCTTTTCTGCAAGCTTTTGGGATCAAAGTCCCTTCATCAGGCTCAGGGAAAAGTGTAGATGGTGCAGGATGGCGTTGTTCTGCAATGAAGTTTAGAATCCAAAATTGGCTAAAATTTGGCATCTCCATGTTTCAGGGGTGCACTTGATAGCTGATTTTTAAACTTCAGTGCAGAACAAGGAAGTTCATTTGTTTTTTGTTTTGTTTTGCTTTTTCCCCTGCCTGCCATCTGACACCCGGGAAGGAATTCTACCTGATGAACGCATCAAAGAGCTACTCAACACTTCTCACAAAGACTCTCATGGACCCAGAGGGACAGACTTCCATCTTCAGCTCCCTCTGTGCAAAAATAAACTTCATTTTCTACCTATGGGACTTCTTACCATCTACTCTTTTCCCTGGGAGTTGCAGCTGTGGTTCATCATGGACAATAATCAATAGACTAGAAGACCTCCAGGATTTTAAGGAGTGCTGAATCAGCAGCCCTTACTTGTGCACCCTGTTTGATTCTTCATCAAGCTGCATGGGCCTCAGTGAAGCTGCTCAGAGTACATCTCTAACAGCAGTATGCAAGCTCACATGTACCATGTTTGCTCTTTGGGTATGTAGGATGGATGCAACTGTAAATACATTTACAGACTTGTTAAAGATGGAAAAAAATTGTGTTTTGCTTAGCAAAACATCTTTCATGGAACTTGCCAAATGGATTCCATGACCTGTGGGGTCTGCTAGTATGTTTGCTTCTGCTGTTGAGGAGGAAGATGCTTCATTTTTATATAGGGAATCTTTTCCAGTGGTAGATCTCAAAGTGCTTTACAAAGAGGTTGGCATCATTATCTCAATTTCACAGATAGGGACACGGAGCCACAACATGGAAAGGACTGGCTCAAGGTTTCCAGCCAGCCACTGGCGTCAAAAGTAGAACCTGTCTGGTAAGGGTTTGTAGAGGCTTCCCAATTTGTTGAAATCCTTCCCTTAACCTAATGATTATTTTATCAGCAGGTGCTCTAAAATGAATCCTAGCATTCCATAACAAACAATGTATGTAGCACCAGAGAACCTAGTTAATGGAATAATTTTGCTGCTAAAGGAAGTGAGTTTGTTTAAAAAAATAACCACCAGATACAGGCAGTCCTCGACTTACAATGTTTTGTACTTACGATGTTTATAAATTGACACCCTGTTTCAACTTTCTGATGTCAGTTTCGACTGTACAACAATTGATCTGACGTAACACCACACCAGCAAACAAGCTTGCTGCATCCCCTGTGTCCCTGGAGAACATTTGTCCAAACTTGCTTGGACACTTTCTTTAAAAAAGCAGACAAAACTCCAGAAGAACCTGCAGCCAAGACTCCTGAGAAGACTCTAGCCAAGAACCCTTCAGTAAGTCCAAACAAGCGCCTTTCAAAAAGTCCAGCAAAGTTGCCTCAAAGAAGTCTTTCCAAATCAATGTGATTTGCTATTTACAATACAAATGCATTAATATAGCTATATTATTAATCTATAATTGACTAAGTACAAAATTCTGGGTTATTTTTGGTGAAAATAGGGTATTGACCTTGGTTCAGGAACCAATCCCCCATTTATAATTCCACCCCCTTAGGAAACAATGAGTTACTTGTTATAATGTGTCAACTTAAGATGCATTTTTCAGGAACCAATTATGTTATAAGTCCAAGAACTGCTTGTATGCAGAATGCAGCTTCAACAATGTTGAATTTAGGGATCTATGTCTAGAATGTATGAATACAGTAGATATCTTTTTAATTGCTTGACCAAAGAACACCAAGGAAGTTTCCTCTCCTGATTAGCTATCTCAACAGCAAGCTTCTCACCACAAGCTTACAGACTCATCAGGTGAAATGATTTTCACCTACGCAGAACCAGGCTAGCATACAAAACACAGCAGGACAAAGAACCAGAAATCTGTGGGTCATGTCATAATCTTAGCAATTAATTGCAGAGGATGATGTTCTGCTGGAGGCAATGTTTGTGCACCCCCATTTTCAGTATACAGTGCGTGCATCTACACAAGATGTTTACTGCAGAGCTGCCTAATTCACTACGTAGTAAATGTCTTGGCACCTACATGGGCAGAGCTAGTAGGCAGGAGCAAACGAATAAACTGCAGCAGGGTTGTACTTGTAAATGCAAGCACTACTCTGCTGTGGAGTGTTTTACTCTGCAGCACTGCATGTGTAGATGCTGACGCAGCTGGCTGGGGCTGAAGGGTTGCTTCAGTGCAGGATCTCTCTACCAGCTAGTCCCATACTGGAACACCCTCATGCCCTATCCAGCCCCTCCACAGCATGTTGAGCCAAAGGGAGCTGCCCTGGGCTGTCAGGCCTCCTAACTTAGCAGCCCTGTGAACATTCATAAATTCCAGTGCGATAAACACTAGAATTTATTGCTTTGCATTAATTGCACGTGTAGATGCACCCAGTAGTGATTTTTCTAATGTCTTCATTAGTCATGTCTCCTACCTCAGTATA